TATGTCAAACTTTTGTACAATATTATTTCAAGTTATTCTTAATATTTAATTTTAAAATTGAAATCTAAGTTCTATTTCGTGTAAAAGCATTTATTTTGTCAAATTCGATAGCTATGAATCTAATTGAATTGGAAATTTTTAAAAAAAAAATATGTAAGAAACAGAGACATGAGCAAGCAAGAGAATGAGATAAAATGAGATTTTTCAAGAGAAAACCACAAAAAAGAAAGGACTTTCATTTATGGATTTTCAAGATATGAAGGTGGAAGAGAAAAAGAACAAGAAGGAAAAAAAAGAAAAAGAAAAGGGCATAGTTTGAATTCAGTTCTTCTAATGTCTAGGTATATCTCCAATCCTCCTAAACCATTTTTCTATAATTTTGTGTATGTTGAACTTGGTTTCCAAAATGAATAAATACTAATATGCTTGATACTTAAAATAGTTGAGTAAAAAGTTAGAGACCACCGGATTCTTACCAGTAATAAAAGTACAAAATTATTCTTTTGATAAATCAGTTCACAATTATTATTTCATATTTTTATCATGTTGAAGAATTGTTGAAACGATATATTTAAAGAGTGAAATAATGTCTGCTAATATAGTTAAATAGCTTTGATTTGATTTTATATAAATTATAATCCATATATCTTATTAACATAATTTGTGCTTGATTGGTGGAGTGTAAGTTATATTTACTATTAGCTATGGATGCTTATCTATGGTATTCAGGATGAGGATATAACATGAGGCTATGACTATTACTTTCCTTCTTTCACTAACTTTTTTTTTACTATTTTGACTTGGGTTGCAAATAAATAAGAGTTTGTTGGATCTTTATTTATTGTTGGGTCCCTTAGTCTGTGATGTTTTTTCTGGCTAAACATGTTCTTCTTTTTTATTCCACATAAACTATCATGCTCTTAATTCCTAATTATGCTAATTTATTACATGCTTATAGTTTTTGTAACGGCCACGGAAATTCAAAAGGAAATACATATAATAATCTTAGTGCGGAAGCGAAATAAAATATTAAGGTTAACATCCCTTACACAATAACTTAAAAGTACTAAACAATATTACGAAATAAGTTCTCTAAAGGAAATACGAGAAATGAAAAAAATAAAGGAAACTATAAAGTATCTAGCATCTACTCGCGTTTTCTTATGGATCGGGCTCGGGAACCAGGTTCTCCTGATTTGAAATGGTTAAATAAGGAATGAACTACACTAACCCAATAAGGACATCAGACTATATCACTGTCACAGAAGTAAAGATTGGTAGAAAGCCAAAAACAACCAATGGAGTACAAATTTGAAACAAATTCATTTATTAATAATAAAAACATTTCATGTCCACTTACCGCAATGAGATTTATAAAAATAACCCATGGAGACAATAACATTATAAATATCATGAATTCATATAAAATCTATAACATAGCACATATCATACTTTTATATTCAAATCATCAAACAACAATTACTCTTTTTTTTATCAGCCTACTAGTATCCATGGGAATCCATAGGGGTCCCCACTACACGTAAACTAATTTTCTTAACAAACTTAATTCTAGGACAGTCCCCATACCCCGTCCGGTATGAACACCAAAACAATAAACTTCAATACCCCGTCCGGTATGAGGGTGAAGCGGGTTTCCCTCATACCCTGTTCGGTATGGGCGCCAAATGACCAAGTCTTCATACCCCGTCTGGTATGAGACAACGTTCACGGTAGGGTTTCCTATGAACTCAGTCCATCCACCATCTCCTAGGATATCTAGTGATGCTGTCATTTTATCCATTTATCAAATCTCATCCCATTCCTATTTGTCCTTAGTCTCCGTTACCAACTCAAATATGAATACATGAACAAGTAACGTGCATCTAACAAAGTAAACATATCTTAGATTCCCAAAATCAAACAGTAGTGAAGTAAACAGTGATACATGCATTCAAAACTATAGAATAAATAAACCAGATACCGTAATGCATTTAAACTGTAAAATAAATCAAACAGGAATTGATAGAGAAATATGTCCGGTTCGGGCTCAATTAGCAACCGTAATTAATTATGCATATCTATTTAATTTGTACAAAATACAGTATTATCATTTATTCAGACTTCAATTCCATGATAGGAAATAGGGTGAGGGGTCCTTACTTGATTTGATGCCGAAAACTAGATTGTCACTGCGCCTACGGGCCCTTGGGTTCCCTAAATTTTTTTTTTTCAGGAACTGAAACGCGCTTGCAGTACCTACACATGTCCCAAATAACTCAAAAATCAGACCTAGAGCCTACTTGGCCAATTTTAGAATTCCAGTACGACGACTCCGCCGCGCTCCAGCGACGACAATCCGCCTCGAGTTGGCTATTTTCGGCCGAATTCAGCCAAACTTGCATTGGTTTTTGTGAGAAAACACACCTAGGGCCCTCGGTGGGCCGAAAAAACGTGAAAAACTGAAACTCACTAGCAGTGGGGCTCTTCGGTGCGGCGGTTCCTCCGGCTCACGTCGTGGTTGGGTGTTTTGCTCCAGTCAACCTGTAGAAGATAAAACGATGATCACAATGGTAAAAAAATCATATCGAACGAGAATCGGGAAGGGCCTCATCGGAGGCGAAAATCGAGATACCCTACAACGGCGATTTTCGGCCAATTGGCTGGTGCTTTCGCTCCGATTTAGCTATAGGTGGGTTTAGAATCAAATTCTGAGCAAATGGTAGAATTTTTACCTCGTTTAGCAGTTGGAAATTGCTCTGGTATGGCGGTAGGTGGCGGTGGTCGGCTCCCCGGCGGCTGGGCTGTTTTCTCAGGCGAGGGGCTTTGGCGGTTAGGGTTAGGGTTTGGGTGCGGATGAAGTTATTTATACCCATCCGCTTTTGATTTGAGTCATCCATCGCTTTCAATCTGGACCATCCGATCACGATTAAATAGGAAATGAATATGGGTCGTTCATCGTAATTCAATATTGGTCGTCCGTGCGCGATGCAATCTGGGCTGTCTGTGCGCACGGGAACGACTCTCAGCTGTTCGATCGCGCGCACGCGGATCGCCCACGTAGCTCCCTCCCGTATGGCCTCCCGCGTTTGCTTCTCTGCCACCTGGCGCGTACTGGTTGGCCAGGGCTGCTGACCAAGTTGCTGACGTGATACAACTTTTCTAAATTACGTTTTGACCCCTTATTTTTTATTTTTCTTTCAAAAATATCCCCATAACACAAATTTTCACCCATTTTTTTCTAAAATTATTTTCAATTAAATCTCTAAATAATTTTTACCCCTTTTTATTTTTATTATTTCTATTAATTTAAATTAAATTCTATTAATACTTAATTATATTTATATATAATAAATTAAATTAAGATAAAATAAAATAATAATTAAAAAGAAATAGTTGGGTGTTACAGTTTTCCCCTATATTACAACACGCTTTGCTTTTTATTTTTGGGTATAGAGATTTGCATGTTGTGTGTTACTATTTTGCATCTTTTACTTTAACAAGTATTAGTAAGAATTAAGTTTTTTTTTTCTACATTGTGTGCTTTCATATGGTTAAGAAAAAAAGTATATATATATAAA